CCACCACAACAACAACAACAACCACAACATCAACAACCACAACCACAGCAACGACAACGACAACAACGACAGCGGCAACAACACCATCAACAGCAACGACAACAATAACAAAAACAACGACAACAACAACAAGGAGGATAACATCAGCAACAACACCAACACCAACACCACGACCACCACCACCACCAGCACCAACACCAGCACCAGCACCAACACCAACACCAACACAAACAACACCACCAACAACAACAACAACAGCACCAACACCAACAACACCAACACCATAAACCACAACAACAAGAACAACAGCAATAACAAGAACACGAACAACAATAACAATTACACTAACAAGAAGAAGAAGAACAACACCAACAGCAAGGATTACATTAGCACCAACAACAACAACACCAACGCCAACACCAGCACCAACAACAACACCACCACCACCAACAACAACAATACAACAACAACAACAACAACAACAACAACAGCAACAACAACAACAAGAACAACAAGAACAACAACAACAACAACAACAGCTGCAGCAAGTACGAAGACGACGACGACGACGACGACGACGACTACTACTACTACTACTACTACTACTACTGTACAAGTTCCACGACAACGACAACGACAACGACAATAATAATAACAACAACAACACCACCAGCAGCAACAGCAACATCAACAACAACACCACGAAATCCGTCCAACATGCGAAAATGTCAGGAAAATTCAGTTTTCCCGAGTAATATCCACGGTAAGGTATGTTTTCTTCTAAAAACCTAAGGAAATGAGACGGAAGCGCAACAGCAACAACAACAACAACAAACACAACAACAACAAGAACAAGGTCACCACCACCGCCACCACCACAACAACAACCACAACAACAACAGCAGCCACAACCACAGCAGCGACAACGACAACCGCAACGACAACAGCGACAGCAACAACAGCACCATCAACAACGACAACAACAACAACACTAACACTAACACTAACAAGAACAACAACAACAACAACAACAACAACACATATTGCATTAGCAACACCACCAACACGAACACCAACACCAGCACCAACACCAACACCACCACCACCACCACCAACAACAACAACAACACCAGCAACAACAACAACAACAATAACAACAACACCAATAACAATAACACGAACAATAACAAGAACAATAACAACAACAATAAGAACGACAATAACGACAACGGCAACAGCAAGGATTACATTAGCAGCAGCAACAACAACAACCCCAGCACCAGCACTAACACCAATATCAACAACAACACCAACAACAACAATACCAACAACAGCAGGTACTACTACAACTACAACTACAACGACAGTGACAACAACAATATTAACAATGGTAACAACACAGGTTTTCCTTCTGAAAACCTAAGGAAATGACACAGAACCGTACCAAAATGGTGTTTGTCCCTAGGAAAAAACAAAAGAAACCTAAGGAAATGACACGGAATCCGTAGGAAATAGGATTTCCACTGAGGAAATGACAGAGAATCGGTTAGAAAACGGTGTTTCCCTACGAAAAACCAAGAAAACTGACCCAAAACAAAATACAAAACAAAATACCAAAAAAATAATCAAGCCCTCAGCTCAAACCTAAGCTCTGAAAGGAGTGAACCCAGACCAAGACCCTGAAAGGAGTAATCCCAAGCCGAAGCCCTAAAAAGACTAAACCGAAACCAAAGCCTTAACAGGAGTGAACCCAGACCGAAATCCTAACAGGAGTAAACCATAGTAAACCCAGATCGAAGCCCCAAAGGAGTAAACCCAAACAAGGATTATATTAGCAACAACAACAACACCAGCACCAGCACAAACACCGATATCAACAGCAACACCCCCAACAACAACAACAACAACAACAACAACAACAACAATAACAACAACAACAACAACAACAACAACAGCAACAACAACAACAACAACAACAACTCGTACTACAACTACGACTACAACGACAATGACAACAACAATCTGATAACAATAACAACACAGGTTTGCCTTCTGAAAACCTAAGGAAATGACACGGAAGCCGTGGGAAAATTGTGTTTTCCCTAAGGAAAACCAAAAAAAACCTAAGGAAATGACACAGAACCGAACGAAAATGGTGTTTGTCCCTAGGAAAAACAAAAAGACCTAAGGAAATGACACGGAATCCGTAGGAAATAGTGTTTTCACGTGGAAAAACCAAGCAAAACCTAATGAAAGGACAAAGAATCCGTAAGAAAACAGTGTTTTCCGTACGAAAAACCAAGAAAACGGACCAAAAACAAATACAAAACATACCCAAAAAGAATCACGCCTTTAGCCCAAACCATAGCCCTAAAAGGAGTGAACCCAGACCGAAACCCTGAAGGGAGTAATACCAAGCCGAAGCCCTAAAAGGATTAAACCGAAAGCAAAGCCTTAACAGGAGTGAACCCAGACCGAAACCCTAAAAGGAGTAAACCCAAAGCAAAGACCTGAAAGCAGTGAACCCAGACCGAAACCATAAAAGGAGTTAACCCAGGCCGAAGCCCTAAAAGGAGCTAACCCAAACCAAAGCCCTAAAAAAAGTGAACCTAGACCGAAACCCTAAAAGGAGTAAACCCAAACCAAAGCCTTAAAAAAAGTGCAAGCACGACCGAACCCTAAAAAGAAGTAAACCCAGGCCGAAGCCCTGAAAGCACAAAGCCGAAACCAAAGCCTTCAAAAGAGTGACCCAGGCCGAAACCCTGAACCCAGACCGAAACCCTAAAGGGAGTAAACCCAGGCCGAAGCCCTGAAAGGAGTAAACCCAAACCGAACGAAGCCTCAAAGGGAGTGAACCCAGGCCGAAGCCCTAAAAGGAGTAAACCAAGACCGAAACCCTAAAAGGAGTAAACCCAGGCCGAGGCCCTAAAAGGAAGCCATGGACCTGGTTTGCACCGGCGAAGGAGCCTCGAGCCGAAGGTTGGTAGGTTCTATAGATTCCACACAGGAGTTTGCTGGGGACCAGGGGCCATTTTTCAAGAAATAATGTGGGCCTGGCAGAACGTGATGGGCCTGTGATGTCTCAAAAGTGTGAACAGTCACAGGGATCGGGGACCCCGTCTGCGCGCTGAACGCACCAGAAAGAGGTTTTGGGCGTGCGCCGCAAAATCAAGTGCGCCTTGGACACCCCTGCCGGGCATTTTTATCGCTGCCCTTGAAATTTCAAGGAGCAGCTGTTGAACTGCATTCGCAACATTGCTGCCGTGTATTGTCGTGGCTTATCCTTCTTCAGTGTGTGGCGCCCACGAAGACGGAACGCCACGACCCTTGATATCTGAGCCATCTAAGCACCACGAAATCTTCAGCACCACAGGAACCACGCAGATCTTTCATGACCTCAAGCAAGTTGCGACAAGCCCAAAGGCTGGCACAAAGCTGCAGCAAGTCTTGTACAAGGAGTCGGGAACCAGGGCAAGGGAACCTTCGTTCTGGTTTTTTCGGCCTCCAGAACAGATCGCTGAATATTCTTAAGCTGCAGTTTTCTGCAAGCCAACCGCCATCGTGCATGTCAGTCGCATCTTCCAGCTGCGGGACAGTTAAATGCGAGCATAGAGCGTAGCATCAAAATAAATAAACGCTACAGTAGCACATAGCATTCATAGCATTGAGGTGACGTGTGTAGTCTTAGTAAGTAGCTGCTGGGTCACAGGCAGAGGACCAGGCATTTTTGGAAAGGCAAATCAAGTCACATGCCATTCCGCATGCCTGTCTCCAGGAGCTTAACGACATCGGCGCAAAGAAGTTCATAATCCCGCAGATGCTTACAGTATCTTACAGTAGTAGATAGCACGCGCAACTGACGGCAAATTGCGGGTAGTGCACCAGAAAGGGGAATTGCCACAAAGACATACAAAGACATATGATGACGTGTAAGTTAGCTGCTGAGTCACAGGCAGAGCTCCAAGCGATTTGGGGGAAAGACAAATCAATTCACATGCCATTCTGCGCCTGTCTCCAGGAGCTCAACGACGTTCGGCGCAAGCAAGGTCATCCTCCTGTAGATGCGACCGGGGTCTCTCGGTGGATGATGCGCTTGCGGCCGCCAGACGGTTTCGGGCCTATGCGCTTCAACATTCTCTTATTCTACAGACTGGTGTTCGAAGAATCTAGTTGACCAGATGGTGTGAGACAAGCTATACGTTTTTGGTTTGTCTCTCTGCAAATTCGAAGTTGCACACTTGCTAGGTTCGGTCTTTTCTCAGAAGGTTTATGTCGCGGCTGTAGACAGTTGCAAGCTGAGGTCATTGCGCAGGGCCACTGCCTGGCTCACCGACCTGATGTGGCCGAGGCCCGGAGTTGCAGACCCGCACTGTGCTTTCGCTTTCTTTGCCGATAGCTTCGAATGCAGCGTTCCCCAATCCCGAGCCGGAGCCGCCGATATTCTTGTGTCCTCGCGTTCACATGGGGCGAAGCCATGCGCTTGCACATCCTGCATACTCTGTTAAAATTGTGTCCGAGCATCCAGTATCAAGTCTCACCTTCGAATCAGCAGCTGGAGCAATTTGCTTTCGCCTCAACGCGATACGTTGAATGGGCTCGGAACAAGTTTCTGGAGCTCGCCGCGATATCAAGCATATAGTTGTTACAGTAATGAAAGCAGGGGTATTCGTTTTGACATATTTTGACAGTTCTTTTAGTATGTTGTTTTTTTTGGGGGGGTGGAGAAGGGTACCGGGAGACGCAGAAAGGAACACAGGTCGTCCGGTCGCAGCCGTTTCGGCTGTAGCCATGCCACACACACACTGACACATTTAATGCTCTCTCTCTCTCTCTCTGTCTCTATGTGTGTCATATAAACCTACCATAACTAACCTACCGACATACATACGTACATACAGACATATGTATGTATGTATGTATATATATATATATATATATATCGCTCATTTCGCTCATTTCGGGCACAGAGTCCATGTTCGGGCGCAGCCCCTGTGGCATGCACCTAATTAAATTTGTTGGCTGGAGCAGAAATCTGGGCCTCGCAAGATGAAAAATCCCAAACAAGCGTGACCCAGTGTGCACTCAGCATGTGGGAATGGCGGAGGGGATTAAACCGGCACAACAAGAAAAACCGTCCCCTCGACAGCCATCTAACCCACTAGACAAAACTTCAGATAACATCGGAGCCAAGATGGCAAAAAGCACCAGCTGCAGTGCAATGTAAGGTGCAGGAAATCTTCAACGACTCAACGACAGACCTGAAAACGAGTTCACACTTGTACCCTGAGCCTATTCCTCCAGGGAACAGGGGAGGCCAACTACAGGGTAGGTCCCTCACAATGGAAAATTGAACATCACTGTGCCCTCTCAGACGTGTCGCTGCGTACAGTGACCGCGTATATACGCACCAACACGTGTGAGGTCTGAGTCCAATGATGAAAGCGAAGCGCCCAACAAACCCGTCAACATACGGCAGAACTCCAGGACCTGGTCTTCCTGGCTGCGG